TGCCATCAAGAATAAGAAACACACTGAAGGGGAATGTTGGATTAACACACTGATAGACCATTATGAAGAGACACTGATGGATACTAAAAAGTGGGAAAGCAAAAGAATGACCAGAGACAAAGTATTGAAACTAATGAATTTAGATGAAGAAGAGTTTAGACAAAATGGGGCATCAGTTGAAGATATGAAACCAGTATTTGAAGAATTTAAATTAACAGTCAGATTATACAACTGTATCGGTCAAAAGATTTACAGTTATGACCCTGATAAGAAAAACAAAAACATAACTGTATTGTTTGGAATGATTAAGGGAAACCACATTTACACAATGAATGACAACATCAAAAGCATAGCACAAAAAGAATTAGAGGAAGATATGAAAATATGTGCTTCTACTGACTTTCATTTAAATAGCAAGGAGAAACCAGTTAAGTATGATTTTTTCAATGGCATTGATGACACAATGGGTATAGTTGAAGAGAATGAAGATGAAGAAGAAGTAAATTTAGTTAGTGGCAGGGATTTGAATACAATTTTTTGTGAGTTCAAGAGAGCAAAGTATGAGCCTAAAATCATAATGGGAGCAGGTGGCAATGTATCATCACTCAAGGTTAAATTTAATAAATTGATTTTAAATATAAGAAGTCAGAGTTTGATAGACTGCGCTATGAATAATGTATTGATAGTAGCAGTGCTGATATGTTTAATAAAGTCAATGAGGCATTTTTTAATTTCAATAAGGGTATGTTCAATCCTAATCACAAGTCATATTATCACAATGATGATTTAAAAATATTTTCAATGGCGCATAGTATAGCACCAAGTGGGTATTTTGAAAGCATCGTTGAAGGTAAGGATACACACATTGAATTAGATAGAAGAAAGGCTTATACAAAATCCACCATTGATATTTTTGAAGTGCCTGTCTTTTCTGAATTTGATATTTGGAAAAAAATATGATTATAGCAAAAATGATTTTAACAAGATGAATGCTTTAACATTATATCTTGTTAAAAGCAAAGTTAGAAATCTATTTTTCAATAGGACTTATAATTTGATATACGGTAAGTTTTTGAAAAAATATTATGATGATGTTGAAGTCATTTATTACAAAATTCCATCTAACACATACAAAGTAAATTACAAAAAAATAGTTGATGAACTTTGGAAATTGAAACTGGATGAAGATGAAGAGAAAGACCAAATGAAAAAGAAAATGATTGCTTGTATCAACATCGGCTTATTAGAAAAGCAAACTAACAAGGCTTGTAAGTCAGTTGTGTTTTCAAAAATGGTTGATGCCTTTTACTATCAAGAAAAATACGGTGGTGATATAAGTATCATTACTGAAACTAAATGGGATGGTGAAGTGAATGATAATGATGAGGATTGTTTGCTTGAATTTGATGATAAAGGTAATGCCATTGAACCTGAAAGTGATGAAAAAGAATGTGCTAAAATAGTGGATGAGTGTAAGCATTATGTGCTGAACATTTCTGACAAAAAGACTTTGATGAATGGATATAAATTTGTGAAAGAACTAATTTTACAACATCATAATTTTGATATGAATGAGGCTTATGAAACACTTATGAGGGATGGTGTTAAGGTGTATTCAGTTAAGACCGATGCCTTTGTGATTGATAAATGTAATCTGGGTAAAGCAAAGAAGGTCTTGAAATTTGGTAGTGAGATTGGTGAATGGAGGTGGTCTGACAGATTTAATTTTCCTACCAAGGCATTTTGTAAGCAACCCAGTGTGTTATGTGGCATAACTGAATATTTTAACAACACCGGTTATGTCAAGGATGAATGGAACACTGATGAAATCATAGATGAACATATTTTGAATAATAAGAGGTTGATGATTAGAGGTGATGTGCCCGGAACAGGTAAGAGTTATATATGTCAGCATTTACAGGACAGAAACTATAAAGTCTTGTTTGTAGTCCCCACTAATAATTTGAAACAAGAATGTGGAGCAGAAGCAATGACAATCAATAAGTTTTTTGGTATATCTTATGGTGATGAGAGGCTTGCGAAGTTTGATTATTCTGATGTTGATGTAATAGTTTTTGATGAAATCATTTTTCATAATGTGGGTAAGTGGGCTTTGATATGGGACTTCTGTAAGAACAACCCTGATAAAATTGTAGTGGCAACTGGAGACACTAACCAATTGAAAAACCCAGAGAGGGTAAGCAATGTAATGTCATTTGAGAAGTATGCTAATCATTGTATAGACTTGATTTTTGAAAATAATATTATGCTGTATGAATGTAAGAGGTTGAAGACTGAAGAAGATAGGAAGAAACTTTATGATATAAAAGGTATGATTATGAACGGTGAGCCTATACTTAATGTCATTGAAAAGCACTTTGGATGGAGTGAAGGCAATGAGATATGTGAAAACAACATTGCTTATACTAACAAGACTTGTAGAGAGGTGAGTAGCAGGATGAGAAAAATGAAAGGCATAGAGGATGAATATGTGATAGGTGAGGAAGTGATATGTAGAAAGTATGTTAAGAATAAAGGGACACAATTTAATGTAAATTTTAAATTCAGGATTTCAAACATTGTTGGCAATATTGTTGTTTTACAAAATGTGGCAACTAATGAGAAGCAAAATATAGAACTGAAAGTATTGAGAAAGCACTTTATATATGCTTACTGCTACACCACTCACTCAAAGCAGGGATGTAGTGTAGATGATGACATAGTGATATATGACTGGAGCAAATGGTATTGTAGCAAGAACTGGTATTGGACTTCTGTCAGCAGGGCAAGAGATTTAAATAGAGTTAAGTTTTATAAATATGATGCTGATGAGAATGACTTGAGCAGATTAAGAGTAGAAACATATTTCAAAAATAAAGTATCAAATTACATTGAGCAAGATAAGAAAAGCAACAGACCTATAGATGATGATGACTATGTGGATGTAGATTTCTTAATGGATATGATGAATACCCAGTGTGAGAATTGTAATGAGCCATTGGTTATAGATTTTGAAGATGGCAAGGTTTCATCAAATATTAGTTGTCAAAGAGTGAATAATGAACTGGCACATTATAAAAGCAACTGTATCCCAATGTGTGTTCAGTGTAATTGCGCCTTTTCAAATAAGATATTAATGTAAAATGGTTTTAAAGAGAAAATGGTTATAGATAGTATATAGGAGATGAATAGGTATGAAAAGGGACAAATATATAAGGTAGTGGATATAGGCTATAATATGTGCTATATTGGTTCAACGTGCCAATCATTGAGCAAGAGATTTTACAAACATAAAGAAAAATATTACCAATACACCAAGGGCAAGGCAGATTGTAATAGAAGAGTTAATATTATTTTTGATAGATACGGTATAGAAAACTGTAAGATTGAACTTTTACAAGATTTTCCGTGTCAGAGTAGAAATGAACTACTAAGACAAGAAGGAGAGCATATAAGAAACAATGATTGCGTAAATAAAATTGTTTCTGGAAGGACAAATGAAGAGTGGAGAAAAGACAATTATGAACATTACATAAACCAAAAAAGACAAAATTGGAATGAAACAAAAGATGAACAGAACAGAAAAAAGAGGGAATTTGCTAAAAACAACCCAGACATCATTAAACAAAGAAGTCAAGACAACTATGAAAAGTTTAAGGATAAGTTATTAGAAAGACATTTATGTGGATGTGGAAAATATTATACACAATGCCACAAGAAAAGACACGAGCAAACAAAAAAACATCAAGACTGGCTAAAGCAACAAGAGCAGGAATAATTGATATAATTATTTTATTATATCATTTATTCTATAATGGCTGATAATAAGCAGAAGGTTATTAGTGATATTTATTTTGATAGAAGCGGATATGGAAGCAAGGCTACAACTTTAAAAGATGCCAGAGAGAAAGATAAAACAATAAAGATGTCAGATGTTGAAACCTTCTTCAAAAATAATGTTGAGATGAAAGCAAAGCCCCGAGGGCATAATTCCTTCATAGCACCACATAATCATTACACATATCAGATTGATTTGTTCTTTATGGGTTATTATGATTTTGATGAAGAGCAAAAATTTAGAGGTGGGTTAGTGTGTATTGATGTTTTGAGCAAGTATGCCGTTGTAGTTCCAATCAAAACTAAAAATGGGGAGGATGTCCTTGAAGCAACTAAAGAGGCATTAGGGAAAATGGGTAAGAAGCCTAAAATGATTTATACAGATGATGAGAGAGCAATAGCAGGTGAAGACTTTAAGGATTATGTGGAAGGTGAAGGTATAACCTTACATAGGACAAGAGGACACCCAGCATTTGCTGAGCGTTTTATACGCACCTACAAGGATATGCTTTTTAAAAGAGTGGAGGCTGATGAAAAGAAAGGAAGAGAACATATCAAATGGACAGACTACAATTTAGAAATAATGCTTACATACAATGATAAAATGAAGCATTCCGCTACAGGTATGACACCTAATCAAGCAAGGAAAGAGAAAAATGAATTTAGGGCTATGATTAATGTAGCATCCAAAGCAAAGAAGGAAAGGATATACCCAACATTAGAGGTGGGAGACAAAGTAAAGATAATGAGAAAGAAAGCAATTACAGAGAAAGAAAGAACTTCCCACTGGCTGAAAGGTTATTATGTTGTGCAAGAGATTGCAGAAAAGTTGAACCAACAATATTACAAATTAACTGATTACCCAAGATTGTTGATGAGGCACGAACTTTTAAAGATTTAGTGTTTTTAGAAAGCCTTGTAAGTTCATTTTTTTCTTACTTATGCCTATACTTGATGCAACCATGAGATGGTTGATTTGATGTGCTCTTTTGATTTCGGGGTTTTGTGTTTTGCCCTTCATGTGTTTTTCCCCACGAATTTGTGTTTGGCACGTTGGGATCATTGGCTGGGATTACTCTATGCTCCTTTGCCCTTCCTCGCCTTGGCTTTGTCATCAATCTCTTCTGCATCATGTTGTCGGGGCGCTCAGCTGCTGGGAATATGTCAGTCGGAGGTTTGGAGCCACATGTTCTTGGAGAGCTTGACCTTGGAATTTGTTTCAATTTGAGCACCTTTGACATTCTCAATTGGAAGCTACAGAAATTAGCTCTTTCAGTTTGCGCTTGGAATTTTGTGTCATTCTTCAGCATTTTTATGTTCTTCCGTAGCGTTTTTGCGAGTTTTTCCTCAAGCCACTCAGGGACGCTTTTTAGCTCAGGGGTGTCGGCATTGCCATGGCGCTCAAATCTGGTGTATTCGCTTGCCTCATCCTTGCATTGTGCGTGAGCTGCAACAACGTCATGGCAGAGGAGAACTCCGGCAAGGAGACTGAGAAGGGCGGCATCATCATCGGCCGCGGCCTCCCAATTGAGACTGAGAAGAGTGGAGCGCCCTTCCTCCCTCGGTCGGAGAACCTCGAGGAGACTGAGAAGGGCGGCATCATCATCCCCCGCGGCCTCCCAATTGAGACTGAGAAGAGTGGAGCGCCCTTCCTCCCTCGGTCGGAGAACCTCGAGGAGACTGAGAAGGGCGGCATCATCATCCCCGCGGCCTCCCAATTGAGACTGAGAAGAGTGGAGCGCCCTTCCTCCCTCGGTCGGAGAACCTCGAGGAGACTGAGAAGAGCGGCATCATCATCCCCCGCGGCCTCCCAATTGAGACTGAGAAGAGTGGAGCGCCCTTCCTCCCTCGGTCGGAGAACCTCGAGGAGACTGAGAAGCGGGTCATCCCATGATTGGCATGATGATGGTTCACGTCTTGAGAAGGCTTGCTTCGCCAACAGGGCGACTTGCAAAACAGTGCTTGCTTCGCCACCAGGGCGACTTGCAAAACAGGGCTCTTGGCTGATGCTTTTATGATTGACAAGGTCTGTAGGTAGCAAGGTTTCAGGGTGTCAAGTAGGAATAGGACATTGCTTCAATAGAGCATTGATGCCAGTGAGCCTTCAAAAGCTTGACATTCTGGCACCAACAAGGCACAAAACACAAATCTTTTTCACTCCATTTCGCCCCAAAAGTTTGGATTGCTGTGCCATCTACATCGCGCTGAGGTTGAGAAGACGTGGTCATCAACAAGTTCATGAAGGGCGGTTTGGGCATGGTAATTGCGGTAATTAAAGAGATTTGAGATTGAGAAAGATGTGATGCTGTTGTAATATGCTACTTTGTATGTATGCTGGTATGTATTCTGGGGGTTGGGATAGTATATTGGCTTGGGGCTGAGGCTTCCCCTATAGGGGGAGACTGTGGTAATTAATCCCATAATCTTCATGATAAATGATGATGAAAATTATGTTGGTTATCCCCATAAATTTGATAAAATAATTCTATTAAATTTATGTTGCAATTATTTTCTAGGACTATTTCTAGCAATTATGATTTCTAGAAACAACACCTATGAAATAGATAAGGTAAGGTGATATATATATATATGTGTATGCTTTGATGAAAACTATTCAATACAATTATGATGATTATATTGTATAATTTTTACGGATGAGACGGATGAGATGGGTTGATATGATGAGGTTGTTATGGTTTATGTTATTGGTTTTATTAATAGTAGGTTGTTAGGATTTTGTTATTGTTGTTTTGTTGTTATGTTTTTGTTTGTAGTAGGTTGTTTTGGTTTTATTTTGTTGTTGTGATTTTGGTATAGACTATTTTATTATCCTTTGTATTGTCTATGTTGTTTGAGTTTTTTTGTTTTGTTGTTATTTGTTATGATTTATGATAATGGTTTTATTATTATCTATAAGGTAGTGGCATCCCGTCATAGGTATAAGCTGATAGGATTTGATTGTATGATAGTTTGGGTGGGTTTTGGGAAAAAGGGTTTAAAGGGATAAGACCTTATATATTAGGGAAAAGTATGGAGGAAATTGTTGTAAAAAAATGTTCCAGATGTAAAAGGAGAGAGGTGGCTGAAAATTATAAACAGTGTGCTTCTTGTTTAGAATATAGTAGGAATTATGCTAAGGAACATCCAGATTTTAAAAGGGAACTTACAAAAAACTGGCAGGAAAGAAACGCTGATAGAATGAAAGAGTATAGAAATGAAAAAGTTGAATGTCCTTACTGTAAGCAGGAGTATTCAAGACAATATTTTTGGAAACATAAAAAGCTACATCAACAATACGGTCATAAGATAGAGGGGTAGTTTCATTTTATGATTTCAATATTATAAAATGAAATTTGCTTAGGTTGTTTCGGTTTTGGGTTGGTTTATTGACAGTTAGGATTTTGAAAATGTGCTGTGATATAAGCGCGGGGGGTGGTCTAATAACATCAGATTGCTTAAGTCTAACTCTTATATATCCTTGATGTGCAGCTGATATTCCTTACTTGTGCGGGTACAAAACAACAGTTGGTTGATGTTTTTGACGGTTTTAGCATATACTAACTTGTGACCTTGTGTATCTGTGAGCTGAGAATCCCAGTGACTAACCAACCATGGTGGCGTCATCTGACCTCACCAGTTTGATGGTGAGTGTCAGGTGTGACTATCCCAAGCCGGTTAGCCTTAAATATGGTCTAGAAATGAGTCTAAATTCCCCAGATATCTCTGTTAACTTTCCCATGTTTTCCCATATCGCATTAATATCGGATATAAAATATGCACTCCTTATTTCATGTGGGTTCAGCCAACAACTCAAGGTGAAACCCCAACCATAGCGTTTCATTAATGGTTTATTATCCGCCAACAACTACTGAAAAGCGCTTAGCAACCATCTATCATTGGCTAAGCAGCTAAATTATGGGTTTTTTAGCCATCCAGAATATGTGGTCAATTAGCCGAGCCGATGATTAATTTTATGTTTTTCCACTTACATACTCTCGTCTAAACAGCTAATAGACCCTTAAACCTTGATATCGGAAAATAAACATAGACCCTGGTGAGTTTTCTGGGTTTCTCTGGTGTCTATCTTTTCTTGTAAAAACATGTAAAAACAACTTGCAAACCCAACAATGGGAATCACATAGACCCTGGGGATACAACTGGGACAACTGGCTGGACAACTGGCATAACATAGACCCCATTTGTTTGGCATTTGGAGGCGTGGCTGAATCCCCATCGGTGTCAATTTTTTTGGACCAAAGGGACTTCAGATTTGATCCGATTTCAAGAGTAAGATCCATCCAATTGTTACCCTATGATTATCATTCTGGTTAGTTGTAGTAGTAGTAGTAGCAGCAGCAGCAGTAGTAGTAGTAGTATCATTGTTATAGCCATCCAATTACACTATCTATGTGTTTGGTAGTATAATTGGTTTTTGTATGGGCTATCATAAATGAATGGTCTCTATAATATTCTTTGATCCTAGAACCAATGGGAATTTCAGGATCCTAAAATGGAGGGCCTTATATAGGCCTTAGATATGGTAGGTACCTCCAATCAATCGGTTCCTGAAATGGCCATTGATAGAATAGCCATCCAATTCTAGGACCAAATTTTGACCCACTGCACATGACTTTCACCGAGGCGACTTTCACCGAGGCTTAGAAAATGACACGGGCGAAGGCGAAGATTTTCCGCCGTTGGTGATGGGATTTGGCAAACGCAATGGAAATCAAAGGTTTGCTGAGTTTACTCAAGTCGTGTTTGGCAGAAACTTGACATTTTACCTAAAGTTTCAGATTGATATTGCATGATATTGCCATAATTGTGTTTGATGTTTAAGTTTTTCAGGTGGTTATGTAGATGGTTATACCAGGATGTAAGACATTTAGAACATGGCTATCATCAAATATCCCCGGAAAAGTTGTCAGGTCACCCTCCGGTTCAGACATCAACCTCCATGGTGCAGGGTATCTCACCAACAAGGATGGACCCTTGAGGGAATCATCCCCAAAGCTGCATATGTCAGCTGTTTTCACTACAAAATGCCCATTTTTGGTCTTTACCCTCTGGTAAACTGTCCCATAACTATGGAAAATCACCTTTTTTTAATGGGTATCCTGTATGAACCAATACATAGCAACCTCCAGATAGAACAGATGAACATCTAAAAATAATGGGATAAAACAGCATATATAAATCTATACTACGGCATTTTTTTGGGGAACCCCTCTAAAACCATGAAGACTTGTTGATCGGTGAAGCCGGTGCTGAAGCTGAAACGTCAGTTTTTGCGGCTTATTGTTGTTGGCAACATGTGTCGGTGGAAGATGTTCTGCTTTAGGAGACCAGATGTTCGACTTGCCGGATGTTCGAGATCTGATTTTTTTCTACCGAAGAATATCATGTGTAATTAGATCATGTATATGATACCATCTGGTTATTTAACATAGCCATGGACAATCACCATTTTTAATAGTTAAACCATCTATAAATGGGCCATGTTCCAATAGATGATGACTGGGGGTATCCCCACAGGAAACCATCCCCAAATGGCCTTAATTCAGGTTGGTGAAATATTATAATTTACCCAGATTAGATAATCTATATGATAGTTATTTTTCTACCCCTCTATCTGTTATTGTTATCATGTGCATCATATTTTCGATTGCCAACGAGGCCAACGACCCACTATCGATAGTGATGGATTCAAATTTGATGCCACGGACTGCCATTTGATCAACCGTTGGACTATGCAATGGGGGTATAACTTATACCATGTGGATAGAATGGTCCAACTGTTGGCCATATGGCTTTTTTTGTTATAGTGCAACTGTTATAGATACAATGTAAGTTGGACTATAACCAAAAACATGTGGAATGGGATTGAATGGGAGTGCTAATGGGATTGAACGGGATCTTTAATGGGAAATAATGGGATATATCTGTGGGGGATGGTCGTCAATCTATTCAAAGGGATTTATCTTCCGATCATGGGACAGTCCTAATAATGAGGGGTGACCATAGCCCATTTGTTTTGAACATGGCACACATGCAGATGTGTTCATGGCAACTGATAAGCTATCCCTGATGATTTCAAGTAGAACTGACCCCCCCGATCATACTAAATTTGGCCAATAATTGGGACCCCCAATTCATGAATAGATCCAGTACTAAACCACGGTTTTCCCGGGGTTATTTCATATTAGGGGAAGGGATCCATGATGACCAGGATGGTTTCAGGGATTTTCGGTGGGTTTCCTCTGAAATGTCCCTCAACACCACGGATTCTGGCCATTTTTTCCAGAGCGTCCTTTCCATTCTATCCTAGTGATATCTAGTATGTCCAGTGATTTTTCAGTGTCTAACTTGACTGCGACAGGTAGCGCTGTGCCAGCACCCTCGCCTACAGAAATGGTAGGAGCAGGCTGTGAATCTCAAGTGGCTGTGGCTAAATGAGGGTTTCTGTAGTCATGGGATTAAAATAGATGATTTGGGGGTACCCCCATTTCAGGAAACCTCCAAATGATTTATAATGATATTATTATCATATGATATAGGGTGAGCAGATCTATGATGGGTAGATTTATGAAGGTTTTCTAAAATGGGGGTACCCCAAAACTAAGCCTTCAAACCTAAAATGGATTAATTTTGGATGTTTTGGGGTACCAGCATTTCAGGAAACCCTCATTTTTGTGATCATATGTAGTACAAATGTTAGTATGTGTATATGTGTATGTATATATATATATAGTATATACAGATAATGGGTTCTTTAAGGTGATATGTTTGTTTTTTTCCATGGGAAAAACCACCAGAACTGAGGGATCTTTGTTTGGATTTTGTGTTATTTGTTTGGAGCCCCCTTTAGGCAAGTCCAAGTGCATACTGATTATATGTGATTATAGAATTATCATGCAATATGATGGGTACAAATATATACATATGTATATATAATCTGGGTATATCTGGGTACTTGTGGTACATATACTAAATACAATCTAGAGAATGGGTGCGAAATCAAGCATTTTATGGCAGTGTAAGGGATATATGGTAAATGATGATGGGATATGATAAGGGCACATAATAGGGGGAAGTTCAACCGACACGAGAAGAGATGGAATGGGCTATCGGGGATGCGTTTCAGGCCACCTATTGACTGTTTGTCATGTCTTTTGTACTAAATCAAGTACTGTCTGGTAATTCACCTAGCTGACCTATAGAAAATCAGCATTTTTTATGGGTGAAGCATCTATTTGTGTGGCTCATTTTCCGCTATTTTGACATCACCAGAGGGTAAACCTTCTGCTTTTTTTTGGGGGGGGGCCATCCCACCGGGATGATGATGATTGGGGGATTACAATATGGGAATATTTAAGCCAATCTGCTTGGTGGTTTGGAACATGATTTTTTTTTATGACTTTCCATTCAGTTGGGAATTTCATGATCCCAATTGACGAAGTCCATCATTTTTCAGAGGGGTAGGGCTCAACCACCAACTAGCAATATTTATCCCCTTTATGGGAATAGAAGTGGATAGAACTGGTGAATGATGGATGATTGATGATTATACTACCCTTGATATATTGGGGATTACTTCATAATCCAAGAACAGGGACACGGGGAATCCCGTTCTTAACCAACCAGGATATATAATGGAAGAACAGAGGGCTTTTGAGCACTGCGATCAATTGAAACAAGAGCTCATTTTGATTGTGTGCTATCAAGGACAATGCGGTCTACATGGTTTTCATCAAGGAGTGAAATGATTTACGGTGTCACACTGATAGAAACCAAGCGCTTTTCGGACCCAGACCATTGACAGGCCTCCACATGCTTAGGGAAGAATTCTCTTTTTGAGAGTTCCATGGCATCATGCTGTTTGGACACGTCCGTTCCTTCATGTCCTGTCATACTTAGTTTTGCTGGATAGTTCCCATGGTTGGATAATCGTATGTGTTTGTCTGAAAATAGTGTATATACTACATCTTTCATGGTAATCTGGTTGGTGGTTTCAAATATGTTTTATTTTCCATTTCATATATGGGATGTAATCCTTCCCATTGACCTTCATATTTTTCAAGATGGTTTTTTTTAACCACCAACCAGGTCATAGTTGATTTAATCTATTAACCATTATAACCATGAATATCCATGGATATGGCTTTATAATACACCATTAATAGCAACCATGGTTAACTTTAACCACCAACCAGTAATCTTTTGGACATTGAAACATGTGATTATTGAAAATGGGCACCAGTTTCATCGTGGCTGGCAAATCCCCCATGTAGTTCGACGATTTTGCGAACTAAAGCTCCATTTATAGAGGATGTTCCATAGAGGATGGTACCATAGGAAAACCATGGGAAAACCATGGGAAAATGGGAAAACCATAGGAAAACCCATAGGAAAATGGAGGGTACCCTCTGGTAAACTGTCCCATAACTATGGAAAATCACCATGTTCAATGGGTAAATCCACTATTTCTATGGCAATTTTCAATAGCAAGCTGTTAAATTACCAGAGGGTATCCTCCATTTTCACATCCATATCATGTCATCAATGCCATCACGGGAAACCCCAAGAACGTACGGCCTTCTGGACAGGCGGTTGTCTTCCAAACGGAAACGAAACCGTCGATGATAAATGCTGAAAGGCTACAGCCTTGCTCTGAACTGGTTGTGGCTCCAAATTCGATTCCTAAAACTGGATACCCAAAGACGCCAAAGATCTTGCCATTGAAAATGATCATTATTGGATAAGGCTAGGGTTTTTTTCCGGCTAAAATGCTTATCTAGGGTCAACAGTTTGATCCTATGAAGGGGCTGCGAAAAATCCTTTCCATTTCAGTGTCGTCGTCCTGTTTCGGCCATGAGATTGCCATTTCCAGAATGACTTGCTTCGGGGCTGCCCCCCCTCCCAGTTCCCATTGCCATGTTCGAAGCCTTGGAGGGTACATGTTGAAGCCCTTACGTTTCATTAGTTGATTTTCATGGCTTCATGGCTACCTGTTCCAGCGGTGATATCAATATCCCTCCAACTTTTCTTCCACAACCGGCTCGGCTGACGTTTGAACTGCTGGAAGTCAGAGTTCTCCCACTGGGCTTTGACCAGCTGGAAGGTCGTAGGTTGTTGGGGTGTATAACCAACCATCGAAAGAATCATCATGGATACATATTCTATAATGATGTTCATATATTTGTGACTCATCACTCAAGCCCATGTATGAGGAGACTTTGATCTTGCTGCCAGTCAACAACAACCATAGTGTACATAGGGCCCGTTCGCACCCCCGAAGGGCGAGTGCCGCAGGGTTTTGCAGCGGAAAATCCGGGGAAGGTGGGTAGCAAAGATAGAAACAAACCAGATGAATTGTGGCCATCCAGATTTGGATTACTCGTGGTTGCGATTCGACAGACTTATCCTACATCCCACTACCTTGAAGCCCTCAAATCTCCCAGAAATCATGAAAATCTGGGGTATCTGAAGATACTCCTGAAAAAAAGACCATAGTTCTCCCGAAATTATGATGATTCAGATACCAAGAGAAACATATTAGGGGCTTTATAAGAGATTAAAAAAGATGATTGTTCTCGCATAATCTCTGATGATTCACATTATGAACTGCAGCGTCATTCAGCGGTCAACCTTTCCCAGAGATTCGCTGGAGCCATTTCGCTTGCGCAAAATCTGAAGCCGCGCCATGCTAATGCCGAGAAACAAAAAGACCGCCGGAGTCAACCTTTGGTCGGGAACCAGCAAAAATCTAAGTTGTTTAAGCATAACAGCTAAAAACCTAAGGTTGTTGAATGCTAGCTGAAAGGGGAATTTGTTTGAATACCAACCAGCTAAAACGACGGTTTCTTTGCATACTGACCAGCTAAAGCCTAAGCTTGTCGAAGATGAAGCAGCCAAAAACTGGGTTTGTTGAGTACTAACCAGCTAGAAAATTTGTCTTTTCAATACTGGCCAGCCGAAAAACTAAGCTTTTTGAATGCATGTTATTGCTAACCAGCAAAAAACTAAGTTTTTTGAACAATAACTGTCTCAGAGCCAATTTGTTGTTGAATACTAACCTTTAACTCATTGTTTTTTTGTGTTGTATATCTAAGATTGGCCAAGCGATATGCTCTGCGCCACGCAGGCATACAAGAAGGCGAACAGGTCAGATCTATCGCTGCAGATGATTGAGAAGTTGACGTCACTGGGGCTGCAGGATGATCCTTTAGCGTTTGTCAACATTCACGAATGGGAAAAAGGTGGATGAATGGGATATGTTTCATATACCCTCTGGTTACCCATAGAAATAGATGGTTTACCGAACTTAATAGCATGGTGATTTTCCATGGCTATGTTACATAACCAGAGGGTAATTATGATAAGTATCAATTCGAGTTTTTTTAGAGGGATTTCAGCATGATATTACTGGGAGTGGGATTAATGAGAGATTTACAGATGGAGATTTCCTAGGAAATTGTATAATTTTTGGATAAATGGGATATGCGATATATATATATATAACTATAACGAGAAAATTCTAGTTCATCGAATGTGAAGATTTATTTCAGGGAAAATGGTGGAATTTCATGGGATATAGCTTTAAAATAACCATTATGATATGCCAATATATGCCAATCTACTATGCCAATGATAGTTGGGATTTATTATGGCCATTATGATAACCATATAATAATGGTGGTTTAATGATATGCCAAACTACTTCTATGATAGTATGATAGTTGGGATTCATGATGAGATATTAAAAAATACTATTAGAATCATACCAATGAAAAAAAGAACTCTTACTATCGGGATGTATGAGAAAATATGTCTCCGGTATCCTCAGCTGCTGGAAAATCCATTGATCATTCCATGATATGTTCCCATACTAATTGGTGGTTTGGAACATGAATTTTATTTTCCATTTCACATGGGATGTCATCCTTCCCATTGACTTTCATATTTTTCAAGATGGTTATGGCACCACCAACCAGGTCATATAGTTGATTTAATCTATTAACCATTATAACCATTAATATCCATGGATATGGCTTTATAATACACCATTAATAGCAACCATGGTTAACTTTAACCACCAACCAGCTTCCCAGGGGCAAAATTTCAGAGGGATGTTGTCCCATGATCATCCCATTACGGTGGGGCAACTTTTGATACCAGTTACCCTTTGGTAAACATACAAAAAGCTATTGAAAATCACCATAGAAATAGTGGATTTTCCCATGAAAAATGGTGGATCTTTCCATAGTTATGTAAACGTTTACCAGAGGGTAAATTTTACCCAACTTCGTGAACCTCTACTGGTGACGAGACCTGGCGGTGATGATACCCTGGGCACATACATAAAAAGACGTGGGTTTTCCCCATGGTGTCCCGTTCGGAACATGATTTTTTTGAATGGTGGCTTCTCCACATCGAAACTGGTATTTTTTGCAACATGGGACCCTAGGAACCTGATTTTGACTACTTGGAACTACGGTGGATGGGCCAGCGAAATCCTGCACCAGTTGGTAGATGGTTTTTCCATGTTTATCCTATTATTCATAGGGTTAACCATCCAAGGTGATGCAGGATTTCTTCCATTCACAGTACCACCAGTTAATATGGATTAATATGGACTGTATATGGCTTATGTTCACCATTTACGATGGGATGACTCTGAAGTAACAAGTCACCCTTGGTATGAGCTAACCATGGTGAGCTAACCATATCTGCTTGGGTGAACACTAGCTTGAACATATCTACTAAGCATGTGTTTCTCTGTTTGGAGACGAATGGAAGACTGAAAGACCATCAATTTGATGCTGTTCCTCAGGTGTGTCTCAAGATGGGGTACACCGCATGCCGTCAAAATTTGGGATTGTATACTGTAAAGTGTACCCACACGAAAAGGGGACAGTCATGAATTAATAGGAAGTCACATACCCACTTTAACGATTCCCTAATGATGGTGGGATGACCGAAAACCATATACCAGGTTTTGTCCATGGCACGTACTGTAAGTATCCTGACATACATTCTGACCTGCACCCCGACAAATAGTCTGACACGCATTCTGACCGATATTCGGAATTATTGATATATACATATTCGGATATGTGTTTTGACATGTTTCCTAAACACCTACTCTGACATGTATATAGCCTAGTATGTTGCATGCATGCATGCATGCATACATTCATTCAAACATCCTGTCACACTTGTTGACACTTGCTGTGGCACATGTCATGCGACATATGTTCTCACAGATATTCAAACTCTTATTCTGAAATAGCTCTGACAGATTTTATGTCAAAGTTGTTTTGACAGATGAGCCGTTAAAAATACCATAGTTGATACGTACTATATCTGGTTTAGTGGGGATTATAATAAACCATAATAGGAATAACTACTAGCCGCCAAGTCTAGTGGCTGAGTCACCGACGCGAGGTGGGGAATTATAGATACAGTTGCACTATTTGGAGGGATTACTGCTCAAGTCTTTTGGATGTCTTTTGGCCTAGACCTAGTGCCCCTGACTTTCCTGTTGACATTTGGTTAGATTAAAGGGCGGCAGTAGATAGAGCTGCGCAGTATGATCACCATGGGGATGGCTTCTGATATGGCGCCTACGATTCCACAACTCCTTGCTGTATCACATTGTGATCATGGTGAGGTGATCTTCAACCTTGAGCCCTGCACCCAGCAAGACAAGTATCGCTAATGTGGGGATGAGCCGACATGACCTGAAACCCGCTTTGCTAATGATATGCGACCTGACATCCAACTAAACAGAAGACGCCTTGTGTCTTTCAATGTTCACTCATTTGCATGTCGCTGCAGCTCACACACAAACAACACTATGCGTCCAATGCATGAACCTTTGTCGCAACCTCCCCCCCACAACAACCCCGACCTTCCCATACAAGTTCAACTTCAACACACAATGGTAGCTTTAAGAAACCCAAAAGGACAATGCGCCACATTCAATGTCGTCGCGGGTATTTTGCATACGTTGACCCAGCTGTAACGAAAACCACATACTTTGACGGTGCCCAAATCGGCGGTTGCTTTCAACCAAAGAGCCACTCAAGCTTTTGGGCCAAGCTTACGGTTAGTGGATGGAAAACTATACCGGGTTATACCGGTTTTTTTTTTGGCGCAGCATCCAGCATCGATGATTAGCCATGGCTTGGGCCCAGGCACAACGCCGTGCTGGAGCGGCGCTTCAAGGACCTGCACGGGGAAGCCCAAGCGGACGCAAGGGCCTAACTGCTGATCCGGGGAAAAAATGACCTGGGATAGAAAAAAAATTGGAAATTGCTGGGGATACAACCGACAATTTGGGATGAATAATACGAATATGAATGAGATCTCATGAGATATTATAACATGTTGTAACCAACAATTAGGGATATGGGTGTTTGAAGATAAATGCTGTATGCCCAGAAAATTGCAATGTTTTTTTGAAATTGTGATTGAGACTAGATTTTATTTTAGACAAACCCGTATAATTTGAAAACAGTTGTCCAGAATGGGGTGTTGTACACGGCACAGTTGAACTGCCATCACGACGATGGCACCCAAATAGCGGCAAGTGGGGTCAATCATTCCATCCAGCATTTATTTAGTTCAGGTATCCAAGATGAAACCACCAATCAAACGATAGAGACTTGCTAGGGATACATTTCGGTTTTTCCCCTATTGAAGTAAGCATCCCTCAACATGATCATGTTAAAACTCATTGTCCATGGAGGAAGGAATTATGGTTAGTATCGAGTGCGACTATGATTTTGATTTAAGTATCGCATATGATTTTGGTTCCTAACTAAAAGATATTCAAATGTAAAAATTTGCCAAAACTAGATTCCTGTTCGTACACCACATTATGAACACTAGATCCAAAAACGATGGTGACCCAGGAAATTCGTTGTTTCGATACAAAATAGACGATGAGAATGGGTGAGTTTATTGGATCGGATTCCGACAGGATGGGGCCCCCAAACGTGATGTGAATTAGTTGGTTTCTGAACCATGAAATAACCATCCTGCAGGTATAACTATAGTTAATGGTTTTTAAAGGTTTATAGTAGATATAGCTATAGTTAATGGTTTATAAACCATGAAATAACCACCATTAACTAGTTCGTTATATCTACCATAAACCATAGAATTCAATCAACCACTTTTTTAAGGCAACTGAACGCTATCCAACGGGGCCCCATCCTGTTTTGAAGACGTGACCAGAAATTGTTCCAAATCTACCTGTCATAATTTGGGGTATCCATGTTTCATCCCCACGTCCAATATGACACGTACCGTTTTGTTTCAGAGAGTTAGTCATAGATCGGGTACTCAAAAGATAAAGGTTTCAAGTGAGCCCCTTTAGTGGGCAGTGTAGCAGCATGACTGATTGGTGGTTAAGAGAAATAATGCCCCCCGTGGCATTATCCCGGTCAACCAATGTAGCTAGGTGCGTCAGAAAATGGGATATACCATGGTATGAATCCAGCTATTGAGGTATCCCCATTTATGGAAACCCTCTGTGGCCAGCATCTTTCGGTTTCCCAAAAATGGGTTATCCGACCGCTCCGCTGAGCCTTTGGCTACCGCAGACCTATCAAAATAGCTGGGAAATGATGGGAAATAGATGTTCATCGCCTTACAATCGTACAAATATGCGTTTTTGACACATGTGTTGAAACATTTTGATATGTGTTGATATATGTTTTGATTAAATCTCCGTATTTGGGCAGGTCAAACATGGTCCAGTTGTGTTTTTTTCTGCAGATTTCTTTGCTAGAACACCCACAAACGCCAATCATGACTGGATCGGCCATCTTTCCGAGAAGTTACTCCAAACTGTCAGCAATTGTTCTAAAAAAAGGTTTGTTTGCGTCACTAGTTGACCAAAAACGGGACCACAGAGTTGGTCCATTTTGAAGGTAACCATCCAAGTTGACCAATTTTGATCCAGACCTAAGTAGGTAAACGATTACATTTCTGGATGGTGGATATAGTCTATAGTTGATGGGCTGAAACTATACCCCAACATCCACATCCGCCGCCATGGCCGACAACGATGAGCGGCCCGAGCGGCCCGAGCGGCCCGCGCGCGCGGACCAGACGCCAGAAGAAAGGTGGGGGAATTTTCTTGCTCCACGAGGTGGTGACTGAGTTAGCGATGGAAAATCACTGTTTTTGATCGGTAAATCAACGATATATAAATGTGCAAGTTTCAATAGCTATGTTAAATGAATTACCAGAGGGTAGGTTTTATGGTAGCTATAACATGTTACAAATAGTTAGGTGGGTTGAAGTAACTATAGTTAAATCAACATATAACTATGGGGCCCCACATTGTAAAGTTTCTGATGTTTATGGAAATGTGGGTTACATATAACTAGTTCTGATGGTTATGGAAATTGTTAGTTTATAAACCATAGTAGCTACAGTTGTATGGCTGTAGTAATAACATATACAACTGTAGTTACCATGGTGTATAAACCAACAAACAGAACGGGCCCGGGGCACCACATTGTTACACAGGAAAAATGAGCAGCAACTACTGGACCCCTATTGGTTGATAAGGTTTTTTGGTGATTCAATGAGGGGTCAACCAATTATGAAAAATATGAGGATGTTTGATATTAGTGATAAATCATGGTTGGTTGGTGACCCAACTATTTAAAGGTTGCCCCAGCCCTAACCCATGGTTTATATAAATACTTTAACTCCATCCGGTTTAAAGTCCGATGTGCAAATTTTGCAGCAAATGTTGACATTGTGGCCAACAAAAAAATAGGTAAACCATCCTAAAAACAAAGATGAACCTCCAAATTTGCAGATTCCATCGGGAGAATAGATTCCAAAGCCATTCCTTGAGGCTTCTATGGTAGCTTTAAGGAGTGCAACGTTTTACGAACCAACTCGGTGGTCAATTTTGATCATCAAAGTCATCAAACATAGCAATGGACACTCATATAAGTAGAGGCTTCAACGGGAAAGTTCATCAATGATGAATTGTCGATTGCCACGTTTCATTACCAGAGGGTCAACGCAATTTCTCGATGTGTCCTGAGATTAGGCATCAGTCATCACTGGTCATCCGATTGTGGTAATCCTTACAAATTGGGTAATCCTTTAATTAATATGAATATATATATATATGGGAATAATCATCAAAACTAACTTTCATATTTTTCTGGATGGTTAAAACCACCAACCAGTTATATATATATATATATATGGGTAAATTATAACGACCTCACTGTTCTCCCTCACTGGAAATCATGGTTAGTAAGGGGAATCATCCCCAAATGGCCTTAATTCAGGTTAGTGAATTATTTTCATTTACCCAGATATATACATAATAAATCCTTCATGAAAGTAGATTGAAGACCATCCCCCAATTTTTGTTGAGTTTCCTCAAATGGTGGTACCCCAAAACCCTGGATTTCAAGATGAAAATGGTATCATTTGGGATGATGTGGGGTGGTCCTACTTTAGGAACCCCCCATATAGGTACGTATATAATCCAAGTAACTTGACCATGGCAGATATGGACATATGGATCAAAATTCAAGGCCATGGAAACGGGAAAACATGTGAAGTGTCACGGACTCATGGACTCGTCCAAATGCAAATTGTGGTGACTTCACAGCAACCTCATAGTCCAGGGAATCATCCCAAAATGGTCTGACATGCGGTCTTGAGGGCACAGTTCTATTGTGTTCTATTCGTTTCGCAGTGTTTAATTCTGGTTCCATCCAACTAATGAAAATCGCCAAATTTTGGATCTATATGCTGAATACAGTGCATTTCATGGCCATTTAGGTGATTTCAGTGGCGTTCGTTCCGTTCCACTTCCCACCGTCGCTTCGCGGCCTGCGAGGCTGCAATACATGTCGAGGAAACTGGCCGATCGCCTCGGCAACATCGAAGGTGCAGTTTCCAGTGGGGACTCCAGCCTCTGTGGGTCAAACCAACAGAACCAATCAGAAATGGCATGGAAATATCATGGGATATACTATGGATACTGGTTGGTGGTTTGGAACGTGAATTTTATTTTCCCCAATAGTTGGGATGATGATCCAATCTGACGAACTCATATTTTTCGGTTGAAACCCTCAGATCATAAACCAACCCCCCACCATGTGCAAATACGTGGTATAAACTTATCATTCCCAGTCATGGGTGGTTTATAATTTTTGTCCCACATCAGTAATGTAACATAGCTATTGGACATGGCCATTTGTAGTTGATTTACTTATCAACAACGGTGTCTTTTTCACGTAATTATGTTAATTTGCAGTTTACCAGTATGGTGATTCAATGGTAACATACTGACGATATAGATCGACATACCCATTGATATACCTTATGTCTATGATATCTCACCCATGATGAGAATATCAATGGGGAACTAATGGGAATTAACTGGCCATGATCATGATTTGTTGGGAATATCGTAGGGATATGCTGAGATTTATAACAACCAACATCGTTCACAGGATTAATCCAATACAGCGCAGGTATGTGTAGGTAAAAGTGGCCACAAGAGTGGAGACATGTTGATGTTGTCATATATGATGTCTCTGGATTTCGCCAATTTTTCACACCCCTTGTATTTGAGGTGTTGGGAGCAACCCTGTTACAGGGATTCTATCCAAACTTTTGGTGGTTGTAATATGACCCAGGATAGCCAAAGCCCCGGGTACCATGTACAATGGGTCAATTGTGACTATTTTGGAACCCCCCTTCCATAATTTGCAAACTGAGGCCCTACTCGTCTAGTCGAGATAAAAGGATTCATCAAATCATTATTTGGGATTATCCCATTTCCCGCGAGACTTGACCTCACATCCCCCACCCAAAGAGCTCTCTGCCCTCCGGAGTGAGCGCGACAATTACATCCAGGCTAGTCGAAAGCACCCTTGGTTGTTTGCGCACAAGCCTGTTGTTTCGCTCGACCTGTGTGGGGGGCACTGTCTTGAGCAGTCAAGGTGCCGCGTTTTAAATATGCCCCCGATCCAAGGCATGATTTGGCTCTTTTGAAGCGTTCTCTCATCGACCGGTTCACATTGGATGCAAGATTGGTGCGTGAGGTTGGCTACAAGGACCTTCGTGCTGGTAATGTCGGGTATTGTGGCTCTGAGCTGTTGACGCGCGATCAGATAGGCGTATCACTGTTGAGGCACAGCGGATTCCCTGTTCAATGGTCTTCTGACGAACAAAACTCGGAGCTCGTTGGCTGAGTAGCCCACCCAGTTGGTTACTGAGGCATATGCCTACTGTGCGACCCAAGGGGTTGCTGAGATCATTCGTCGTTGAGACACCAAGGCGTTCGCCACCGCCATTGAAGGTTGGGAGCCCTCTTTTGTGGTGTCTGACGAAGACGTGGGTGAGTCTCCGGCGGCGGGCCACTCATCTGAGGCTCATGATCCTTTCTGGCCATTGACTAGTTTTCAAATATCGTTGTAACTCCACTTTATGACTCAGATTGATTATGTTTATGACACTTGTTCGGTGTGGTGGAGGGTCAAGTCATTCGTGGCAGCAGCAAAATGGAATCATTTAGTCCCAACACATCGTCAAAATCCATGGTCTTTTTATGATGAATCCCCAGTGTTGTGGCATTCAAAGTCATCAATCGGGACTAAAATCCACCATGTTTGGGGCTGGTTAGGATCCCACTTTCTTCTTCTTCATGGTGATTTAAAAAACATAATATTCCAATGTGTACATATATATATATGTATATATATATATGTATATATATATATATGTATGTATATATATATATTATGGTGCTCGATGTAAAGGTCCTTGTAAGGAGTTTTAATTGCGAAAGCCGTGCATGGTATCTTGGAAACCCTCGCGAATGATTTGTTTATTCGCGAAAGTTTGATATTATGAATCATTATCATGGTATACATTACAGCTTGTTCAGGGCTACCACCTCCTGCCGCCCAGGGGCCCGGGGTCCGGCAGGAGAATGGTACCGCACATTTACCTTTCCCTTCATAGGTAGCAGCCAAGCTTCCGAAGGTGAGGCTTCGCCACAGCCAAATACCATGGTCTTGAAGCACATCCTTGCACCTGCCGCTGGTACTGCCTAGCGTTACTTTCTGAAGTCTCAAGAAACAAGCTCCAAACCCAGCAGCCAAGCTTCCAAAAGTGAGGTTTTGCGAGAGCCAAACACCAAGGCCCCTGGTGTTTGCGGTTCCTCTGATGCGCCCCCTGCTGATGGATGGGGTCTGCGGATAATAGGGGTATTTTCGCGAAAGTTCTGCGAAGGACTGGGCGAAAGTCAAAGTGCATTTTGAAGGGAGTGGCCCAGTAAGCCTTGCAAAAAAAAAAACTAATCAACAACAACCTGTCCTGAGAAGGGGTTTCCATGATGCTAGCTGCATGTTTACAAGGCTATGAAGAAGCTATCCGTGATAATTTGGTTTGAGTTGTCAGGTGCTGAACGAATCTTCATAAGAGGAGTTGTTGCTCAACATGGGTTCCGCGAAAGATAAACATGGAGTTCGCGAAAGATTCGCGAAAGATGATTAGGGTTCGCGAAGAATGGGCGTTCCCGGATAAAGGAATTTTGATCAACCACCATAAATATATATATATAATAGATATAATAGTCCCACTAATATTCCATGAATATCCCATAAAATCTTTGGCTAAATGCCCCATGCACGAAAAACTGCCAGGACGACAAGATTTGTTGTATTATTTCATCGACACTGAGCACTGGGTGCCGGTCAGCGTCCTCTTGATGGACAAGAGCCGCTGGGGCTGAGGAATGGGAACATAAAGTTGGGATATTTGAAGACGGTTAAAAATGACATCTAGCATGATAGTAACTGTTCAACCTGATTAAATATGAATACATCACATCATGGGGATATCACGCGGATATTTTAAGAACTCATAACAGTTACTATTGTGGGGATTTAGTAAACTGCAGTAATTGGAGCGGGACAACAATCACTGGGATCTTTTAAGGGGATGTCATGGATCATCATGGATCTAGTGATATTGGCATGATCAAATATTGTAAAATCGAACCGTCCCCTAAAACAATCACAATGTATTTGGAAAAATGATAGTCCCATCCCCGCCCTCCCTTGCCAGTACCCAATGTTGTTGAAAGAATGACGGATTTCGTGGGAAACCTGCAGGTTTGCACGTTGGGCCGCCCTTTACTTAAGATTGTTTAAAGAAGATCCCATTGATAGAATTGGTTTTTACTCAGCCCATTGTCAAATATCATGCCTGAAAGCTGATCAACTCTTCAGTTCTCTCATAAAATCGCAAGTTTCCTCACTGAAATCATGTGTAAATCCCCAGTTTTATCACTAAAATCATGTAACTCCCCAGTTTTACCTGGTTAAAACCCATCCATTTTCCGTTGCGTTTCCGACCCCCTTTTCGCTCCCCAAGGCCTCCGGCGCACCGCCTTCCGCGACGCGCCAAGCATCGCGGGCGCCTCCCAGGGGCACAGCGCCTTCCAATACGTGCTGCGGGCGGCGGAGGCGCATGAGGCAATGGTGGGTGGATGGAATGGGTTCGGTAGAATTTGGAGGGTTTAATCATGTTTAATTAATGGGGATATATTGGAGATATATATATATATATGGAGGTTTCCATAAACGGGGGTACCCCAAAATAGATGGTTTATAATGAAAAACCCTATTAAAATTAGATGATTTGGGGGTACACCTATTTCTGGAAACTTCCATATATATATATTTATTTATTTTTATTTATTTATTTATTGTGTATATATATATATATTGTATATACATATATATATTGTATGTATATATATATATATTTATTTATTTATAGTGGATTCTAGAAGATGTTTGCGGTTTAATTTAAGCCAGCATTTGGAATGGTGGTTTTAATGGGATAGTATGGGAAATGGAAGTTTATATCATCATGTTTAATCACCTAAATTATCATGGTTCATCCATGTTGAATGCGAAGTTGGTAGTGGAAACCATGTAAACATACACCATCTTATGATGTTTTTTGAGAAGACCCATCTGTAAATGCGGATTTACTAGATATTTAATGGATTCTCGAACATGTCTGTGGTTTAATCATGTTTATAAATCCCCGAATGATGAAGGATTATAGCTGGGAGAATCATAGAGCTAAATGGTTAGTGTCTAATCATCTTTTGGAATTCATAGATTTATCATGGTTTTATCCACCACTATGGTTTTACTGGGATAGTATGGGATAAAATGGCGGTTTAGCCAAGAAAAACATTGGAATGTGATAATGAGATTTTAAGGTGTTTTAATCGGATTTGAAACCACCATCCATGTTTTGCTGGTTAAAACCAGCTGTTGCCCTGTAAGATTAACTATTTGTTAGTGGTTAAATGTAGTTAAAACAATTCCTCTAAAAATCACCATGTTTGGTTATCAAATACCATGTGTCCTTGTTAAATCACAAGTTTGTTCTGGTTAATTCACCATGCTTGCTAGTTAAGACTACCCTCATGGGACATGATAGAATTTTATATGCAAGAACCATGAAGAATGTAACGTTGTTACATGCCTGCAGTGTTACAGTTGTAATTCATGATTATGTATGCATCATTTTGGTTCATAGCTTTATGTGAAGCTTTGTGGCAAGTGCCATTATTCCAGGTGACAGGACATGTTTACAAGGATCTTCAATTTTTCCCGAATGCGTAGCAAGGGTTCCCGTTTTACTCTGGGGGTCTGGGGGCTGAGGGTGTGTTCGCTCGACGTTGCTTTTACGTTCGCAACCGTTCGCAACCGTTCGCAACCGTCCGCAACCGTTCGCAACCGTCCGCGCGATTGCTATATGGCCGTGCCTTCTGCAGAAGAGGTGCTTTTTGGAGGTTTCAAACGTCTCGTTGCTTCGTTTCGCGTGGCAGGCATGGCACTTCGTGACATTCGGATGTGTTTCGTAACGTGTCGAAAGTCGTTTTGTGTGGCAGGCGCAATACTTTTGCGACGTTTTCCGAAGATGCGTTGCAGTTTTCGTGGCAGGCGCTGCACTTTGGACGTGTCCATCGTCATTTTGCGTGGCAGGCGCAGCAAATCGCATTGGCAGGGCTGCGTCAAGTGGCGACAAGTGTTGAGAATTGACGGAAGCCTCGCACGAAACATCGATTTTGAGGTAGCAAATTTAGAGGTTCCTAAGAAAACTCGTAGGAAAACGTTGATTTTGAGGCTACAAAGTGTCAAAATTGGAGGAAGTCTCGCACGAAATGCTCGTTTTGCTGCTCCCACGTGTCTCATGTCGAGTCTCTGGTTTTCCTGTGGCCTCGCCGTGTCTATGGAAGCTGCAAAACCTCTCCTTTTCGAAGGCTTCCAAGCAGGTTGTCATGTCGTTTTGCGTGGCAGGCGTGGCACTTTGTGACATTCCAACTTGTTTGACAACGTGTCGAAAATGTCAAAATTGGAGGCAGTCTCGCACGAAATGCTCGTTTTTCTGCGCCCACGTGTCTCGTCTCGAGCCTCCGGTTTTCCTGTGGCCTCGCCGTGTTTATGGGGGAAGCTCCGCACTCTACACTTTACACTCCACACTCTGCACTTTACACCCCTCTCTCCACACTGCACACTCCACACTTTACACTCCACACTCCACAAATCTACACTCCACACTCCACAATCTACACTTTACACTCTACACTTCACACTCTACACTCTACACTTTACACTCCACAATTTACACTTTAGACTCCTCACTCCACACTCCGCACTTTACATTCCACACTTTACACTTTGCACTTTACACTCCTCACTCGACACTTTACACTCCACCCTTTACACTCCACACTCCACACTTTACACTCTACACTTTACACTCTACACTCCACACTTTACATTTTACACTCCACACTTTACACTTTACACTCCTCACTCCACACTTTACACTCCACACTCCACACTCTACACTTTACACTCTACACTTTACACTCTACACTCTACACTCCACACTCCACACTCTACACTTTACACACTCCACACTCGTCACTCCACACTTTACGCTCCACACTCCTCACTTTACACTCCACACTCCCCATTCCACACTCTACACTTTCCACTCAACACTCCACACTCCAAACTTTACACTCCTCACTCCACACTCCACACTTTACATTCCACACTCCTCGCTTCACACTCCGCACTCCACACTCCACAATCTACACTTTCCACTCCACACTCCCCACACTACACTTTACACTCACACTCCACACTCCACACTTTACACTCCACACTTTACACTTTACACTCCTCACTCCACACTCCACACTCTACACTTTACACTCTACACTCCACACTCTACACTTTACACTCTACACTTTACACTCTACACTCCACAATCTACACTTTACACACTCCACACTCCTGGCTCCACACTTTACACTCCACACTCCTCACTTTACACTCCACACTCCACATTCCACACTCTACACTCTACACTCCACACTCCACACTCTACACTTTACACTCCACACTCCACACTCTACACTTTACACTCCTCACTCTACACTTTACACTTCACACTTTACACTTTGCATTTTACACTCCTCACTCCACACTTTACACTCCACACTCCTCACTTTACACTCCACACTTCACATTCCACACTCTACACTTCACACTCTACACTCTACACTTTACACTCTACACTTTACATTCTACACTCCACACTTTACATTTTACACTCCACACATTACACGCTTCACTCCACACTTCACACTCCACACTTTACACTTTACACTCCTCACTCCACACTCCAACCTCTACACTCCACACTCCACACTCTACACTTTACACTTTACACTTTCCACTCCACACTCCACACTCGACACTTTACACGCTCTACACTCCCCACTCCACACTTCACACTTTTACACTTTACAGACTCTACACTCCCCACTCCACACTTTACACTTCACACTCCTTACTTTACACTCCACACTCTACACTTTACACTCCACACTCCACACTTTCCACTCCACACTGCAGACTGGTAACAGGGAATTTGTACCAGACTGTTCAAATAAACTATTGCAGAAAAGTGTTGTGCGCGACTGCATATCCATGTGTTTCCACATCTGTACCATTAACATGCGTGTGAGCATTCGGGTTCGTGGGCTGCATCTTGATTTTGTCCCTACCCTACTCCGTTTTCCCGCTCCCAATTTTGACCAATGGATGTGCAACCAGATGAATCTCTGCAAGCGATGTTCCGCTACGTTTTGATCACACAGAACCACATCCACCAAATGGAAACTATCGAGGAAGCTTTCGTGGAAGTCTCGGACTATCTTGAAGATCAGAACCTCCCTGTGGCAGCTCGCATCATTGATCATATGCCTGCCGAAATCCAGCAAATCAAAGTGAATCTCAATTTTCTCCACAAAAGTGAGGCAGCACGTTCAGTTTGTCGGAGTTTTGAGGGCTGCATGTGCAGGCATAATCAACATGACACATCAATGTATTGACACTGACGTTGGGACACTGCAGCAAGTGGTTCATGACATATAAATCACTATTTGTTCCTGGATATTTTCTGCTCAAATCACAATTTGCCCTTGCTAAATCACCATTTTCGTTGTTACCCTCTGGTAAACTGTCCCATAACTATGGAAATTCACATTTCACGAAAGCTAGCGTCAGCTAGCTGGAGTCTTCTTGCTTTAGCAAGTATTGGGGGGGCTGCTCAAGGACATCACGTGATTTTTCACGCGAAAGGGCCCCCCCACCACCACCACCACCATCACCACCATCACCATCATCATCATCATCATCGTCATCATCATCGTCATCGTCATCGTCATCGTCATCGTCCTCTCCATCGTCCTCGTCCTCGTCCTCGTCATCATCATCATCATCCTCGTCATCATCATCATCATCATCATCATCATCATCATCATTCATCATTCATCATTCATCATTCATCATTCATAATTCATCATTCATCATTCATCATTCATCATTCATCATCATCATCATCATCGTTATTCAATTACATTTTATCATTATTGGCAATTATTGTCATTATCACGAAAGCTAGCGTCAGCTCGCTAGAGTCTTCTTGCTTTAGCACGTATTTCGGGGCTCCCCAAGGACATCACGTGATTTTTCCCGCGAAAGGGCCCCCCCTGCCCCCTCCCCCATATATATCATTGTTATATATCATATATCAATATATCATTGTTGCATCCTCGTTGGGACGAACAATGCCGCGACACGATGATGACAGTCCTTCCGCAACTCACCTCTTCCCTTCCTTCTTTCTCCTACCCCGCTAGCTTTCGTCATCCACCCCCGGCCTCAAGTTTTAATGGGAAAATCCACTATACATCACGATTTTTTCATGTTTTTTTCCCTGGAAAATCCTGACGTTCCCCAGGACCTCTCCATTTCCACCCGCCGCCTCGGTGCCTCCGTGCGGCTGAACGCTGTGAAGCTGCCGGAGGCGGGGAATGATTCGCTACGCAAACAAGGAAACTAGGTCAATCTTACATGGATACTTTAATCCTTTAGCCTTTTGGTATCAATGGGAATATCTACTAACCAGCAATGAATTTATTTTTTTGCAGGGTATCTAAGATTGGCAATGGGAAAATGATAGGTTTACATGGTCAAAAATGTGGAAAAAAATGCGATTTAACCTGCAAACCTAGTGATTTTTGGTGATTTAGCCAAGAAAAATTGTACTTTAACCAGGAACAACGGTGATTTCACCAGGGACATGGAGAAACCATGGGAAAATGATGAGTTTTGCTGAGAAAAAAACTGGTAAAATGGCGACATAAAAAACAAGCACAAATGATGATTTAACCAGAAAAATTATGGGGAAATGATGATCATGGGTTATCAATGGAAAACAATAGGGAAGAATGTGGTTAAAACAATGCCATTTTTACCATTTGTGATGGCTTGAATCCCATAAAAATGGTGATGACTGGGGGTGGTTTATAATTGTATCTGAGAATGGGGTATACCACCCAATGTATTGTTTGTGTTTGTTCTACAGGGAAAATTGGATCAGCATTACATGAGGATTTGATGAGCACAACAATGGGACTAAACCAGAAAGCAAGTTTATGCTTTACATGAATTTGGTGATTTTTTCTGGTCGAACAAAAAAAATCTGATGCCGGCCAGATGGTACTCAACGAAAGTTTATCCACAAATCCATACAAATCCATCGTTATTCATCACCATGTTCCCAGCATTTCTATTGCCAAAAATTGAGGAAAGATTTGATACTGATAGCCATCAGAACATGGCAGCCTGCCATCCTAGTGTCTGAGATTAGGTTTGAAATGACGATGGGGATTCAAACCAACAAAAGTGGGGATTGCTAAGATAAGAGACTGAAGGCTATGGAGGTGAACCTTCGTGAATGTCAATGTTTGTTCGTTTGTTGTATGTGGAAATGGACCATTTAGTTTGATAGTTCACCTAGTGAACATGGTGATTTTCCATAGCTATGCTTAAAAAGTGACTTTGTTGTTTGAGGTCAGCATCTAAGAGTAGACATTAAATCTACTTGAGCGTATCCCAGTAGGTGGGTACTCATCAGATTTTAAGCCTCTTACACATTGGCTATCATGGCTATATCCCTAGTTGTAAATGGTGTATAGATTACAATGTGGGATTCACCCCATGCCATTTGCACCATCTTCAAGTCATCACCATTTTTATGGATGGTATAAACATGTATAATGTAGGTAAAACAATCATAAACCATCCCCAAAATCACCATTTTTATTGGTTGTATAAACAATCACAAATGGGGTGGTAAAAATTGCATTGTTTTACCCACATTAAACCATTCCTGAATGCAGTGGGCTCTGCACACCCGCCAGGTCGTCGAAGAGGTCGGAGAAATCCGGGGATGCCGTGGAAACAACATGAAGCATGAAAAATACCCAAGTGCTGCTTGCTGAGTTTTATTGGTTGGTGGTTTGGAACATGTTTATTTTTCCATATATTGGGAATAATCATCCCAACTGACTAAGATTTTTCAGAGGGTTTGAAACCACCAACCAGTTATGTTTTGGGAGTTATACTACCTGGTTCGTTGGGGATAAGTATAATCGAGTAACTACCCAGTAGGAGATGAGAATGGATTTGCAACTATCCAGTGGTGAAAGCAGGGATCTGCTAGGAACTAGAGGCTCGTATCCATGGAGCCATCCCGAGCCAAGGAGTTAAGAGTTTCCCAACCACACAATAGTTTAAGCAGTAGAGATGGGGACTAAGCCAAGATGAACGAAGAATTAGTGTCCTCTCCTGCAAGCATGGCAATGGAGAAGGATCAATTTCCTATTGCCGTAAATCAACAAAGGGATATGAACGGGAAATTATCGATTGTCAGGGTAAGTTGTCCAAAGGGTGCACAAAGATGTCACCAACAGCAGGGGGAGCGTAGCATCGTGGGAAAATCGACCAGAAACCATCGCTTTCCCCATTAAATATGGGGCTTTCCGGTAAATTTTCCCTTAAACCAATCCATTGAAAAAGTGCTGGTTGATTGTTGTTTATTGTGGTTTCTCCAAGAGCTGGTCAAGTCTTTTTTGTTTTCTTGCTGGTCGAAGGCACCATTTTTTGGTTCCTAAGTCATCGATCCCCAAGTCACCATGGATTCCATGGATTTCAATACTAAGTCATGGTCATCCATGACGACTGGATGATTTTTGGGGTACTCCCCTTTGATTACAATATCCCACTATATCCCTATGCCCCATGAAATCCCATTATCATCCCAGTAAATTCCATAAAAGCACAATTTTTTCCACGACGATTCTTCTGATTTGCTGTACAGGTCCCATCTTCGTGAGCTTGTTGCTGTCCCCATTCCTGGTAATTCCCATGGTTGCTCAGACTCAAACCTCCATGTTTGTTTCAATCCCATTGAACCCCAAATTTGGTCCACAGAATGGGTGAATCCTAGTTTTTGTGCTTAAAGCAATGAATAGATCCACAAACGCGGTTAGTGAACTGCACTCCTGATTTTAGATGATGTTAGATTCTAGCTTGTTCAACCCACAATTTTCCAAAAGAACATGGCCGCGAATTGGTACTCAATCCTTCGCAACTGTGGACTTAAAACACACATTTATCGTCATTTGCCCAACCTGAAAATCACCCTTTTTCCCCTGTGATCTCGTTTAATCCTAAGTGTCCATCGTTTTTCATGGATGAAACGGCAGGTGAAACGTCGCGTGGATGCCGCCACCCCTGCCGTGGGCGCCGCGTTGGAGGTGACGGCGCTGAAAACGACGGCGGCGAGCGAGCTGAAGACGGTGGTGCAGCCCCCAGCTATTGGTTTATAAACTATAAGTTATAATAAACCATAAGTAAGATGATGTAATATATATATACCTTACAATCAGTTAAAAAATATGTAATATTAGTATATAATATAATATAATTGTTTCTTTGCTTGGAACTTGTGGAGAGCAAGTAATGTGTTGTCGATATAGTTGCCAAAATGGCTCTGCCATTTTGGCTCAAGTCTCCCCCATTTGACTGTTCTGTGTCGAAAAATCCGCCCTGTCTTTGCTTTGCCATTATGACCGCACTGGAATCTACTAGTCCTATGGAATGCGAAACGGCAACTTTGGATTCAATTTCGTTGGTGGATGCCGCCTCATCCACGGGGGAAGACTTTTTGATGCTCGACACGCCCAGATCGGACGAGGCCCAGCCAGCCGAAGAACCGGTCTTAGGGGAGATTGACATGAATGTCACCAAAGAGGATTTGGACGCCCGAGCTCCAAGGCATCATGTCCAGGATGGGCTGACAACAAGGCGGCTGACACATCGTGGGCGGGGCGATCTGCTCCACCCCTGGGCGAAATGCAGTGTGACACCACCACTAGTTTTGATGGGTTCCTGGAGGGAACCAAGTTGATGATGCATGTGGCATCAAAACAGAAACCCAGCCGCACAGGCCAACTGCATAGCAAAAGACCTAGTGCTGCTGCAGCTGCCTGCTTGTGAAAGCCATTTTCAATTCTATTCGGGAACACTATCATATGACATTTGATGGGATATGATATGATATGACATATTACCTTATATTATCTTATATTATATTGTATTATATTATATTATATTACATTATATTATTTCATGTTATATATTATATTATATTGTATTTTATTATACTACATTGTGTTATATTATATTATATTGCATTTTATTATATTACATTATGTTATATTATATTTTATTATAATATATTATATTGTATTATATTATATTATGATATATATTTTTTATTTTGTTGTATTATATTGTAACATATTATATTATTTTATTTTATATTATTTTTTGTTGTATTATATTTATTATAGTATATTTTATTTACTTTATTTTATTTATTTTATTTGTTATTATTATATTTTGTTATTTTTTTATTGTAGTATATGTTATTTCATTTTATTATATTTATATTATATTATATTTTATCTAATTTTACTATATCATTTTAAATTATTTTTAATATAGTATATTATATTATATTATTTTATTTTCATTTTAGATTTTATTGTATGGTATTGTATTGTATTACATTTTTTATATACTATACATTTGTACTGCGGCGTAGTTACTTGTGAACCACAGGTACTCTGTGTATGTACTACAAGTTTGTTTGTAAACCATAGTAATTGTAGATATATCTAGCACAAACCCTACACGAGTTATCGGTTTATAAACCCAGTGACTCGGGGTCCGAAAATCATGGGATCTAATCCAGGGATGGTGGGATGATGGGTGGTTATTCTGTGAATCATCCCTTCCCTGCAATACTGTAATATAATATTAAAGACCCTCCAGAAAGCAATGAAAGCACATATTTGGGACACAAAAAGAGGGTGCTTTATCTTGGGAGATTAATGGCTGCTTTATCGGAGATTGAACTAAGCATTTTCATGGGGATGGGAACCAAAGAACTGCCATGGTCTGAGAGGCATCTCTAACTCCGCCTGGTTTATTTTTACTCCTAGTGGGTAACAATCGGCGCATTGGCACAGAGTTATACACAGAATATATCAGTTATTTATAAGAGATCTGTGGATTATAAACTACATGCTAGGTGGATTGCACATCCAAGTTGTGAGATGTTGGTTTTCTACGTGGAGGATCACCCCGCGGATCGTAACTGCTTGCCCCTCATTGGTGGTTCCCCGGTGCCGTGATATTTTGCTGAATCTCCATTGTTCTTACAAAAAAAATCCACATTCCCGGTTTTCCTGGCAGAAATCCCAATATTTCGTACGTAGTCAAAATCCAAATATCCTATTCAAAAATATTCAAACAAAAAACTATGCGTTTTATTGTTTCAACTCCCATTTGTCTGAATCAAACAACTCACCATGTTTGTCTAATCTTCATATACAATCATTTACATTTGTTTGTTAAGTATTCAAAAAAAAGTACCCCAGACATTTTCTTTTGAGCCCCTTAAACGAAAACCTCAAAAACATTCAAAAACATCATCAACATCGTTCCGTTCCCGTTCGCATCTTCCAGCAACGTCCAAAGGCGGTGGAGAGCAGCGCGCGAAACTGCAAAGGCGAGCTGGGGCATCTCTTGTCCAAGCGCCTGCAGCGTCCCACCGTCAAGGACGACATCAGGCGGGCCACAGCTGTGGGGAATCAGTTGCGGGTGGAACTTGGGGATGCAGTTGCAGTCAACTAAGTGGATATGTATGTATGTATATATGTATATATATATATATAGCTATATATGTAACTATAACCATAATTACAATAATTATAGGTGTTATATCCAAGTTTATGGGAGTTAGTAGCATAGTTATACACGAGAAATGCGAGCATATGGCATATGGTGTGAAAATTAAATTGTAAATGTACAAACAGCTGTTTAGGGCTTTGCTACGCATGTTTGCTATTACTAAATGAGATGGCCCTCCAAGCGGGGAACCTTTCATCAGCTGCGATCCAAAAAATCGCCACGATAAAGTTATCAAGTCTACAGCAATAGTAATAATGATATTGGCAATAATAAAAATAGTAATAATAATATATAGGGTTAGGATGGGTTAAGTAGCCGACAAAAATGATATCACCAACAGTAGATTTTCCTGGTAACTTGCGTGGAACAGCAGAAATCTGGGCAGAGATTTTGTGAACGTTTGGTTTTTATATGGGGTGCATTCCATTCGCGCGGCATTCACACCCCATGTTCGCAGGTATGAAACCTGGAAAGTTTCCGAAGCTCGGCTGGAGCAGTTAGCCTTTGAGGTAAACGCACTGGCGGATGGCAGTTTTTTTAATGGAAATCACTCAGGCATATTTCTGGAAAAATATGTAGAAATATATCATATCCCAGGTCCCAGCCAACTATGGGTATCAAAGACGAGTTGAAAGCTATGGAATTTCATGGCAGGGCTGAATCCCATGTGACGGTGATAATTTGGATTGGGTCATCATCAGTCTGTAAGTGTTTTAGCCATGAGTGCCCACGGTTCTTGATTATGGACCCAGGGTCATCGGTTATGTTGAATGGCCACACATTGCTTTGCTCGGGCTGTCAGGGTACATAACCCAGCAGGGGATCTCTTCTCAAGACAACTGAGAGTTAGCAGGCTTGACAAGCAAAAACTGGCGTTGAATTGTATTGTGTTGATTGAAAGCCAAGTTATTTTGGTACAAGGCTAAAGTTTTGGGAATTTTCCCTTGCATGGATTTGACGTGTGTCTGCAAGTGTTAGCCACATTCAAGTAGAATTTACCCTCACACATGCTGGGAAGTAGACTTTTTGCCCACATGGCTGCAATGGTTTGTTTTGTATCAAGCAGTGATCAAAAATTTGTATAGTAACCTTAAAAATCGACTTTTCATGGATTCCGTCAGTTCGAATCACCCCAATTTTGATGCAATCATGTACCCACATGGTACCCAGTTTCGTCTGGTTGTTTTTTTTCTGTTGCGAAGCGACATCTGAGCGGTTTCAAAACCCAGTGGGTTGATGATTAAAGGGGTGATATGACCCAATATGTTAGGATATTCGGGTCTAATCATACTCCACGAACTGGGAATTTGCAAGCGAGCTTGAATCAACGCATGCAAGACTGCGGACGTTTTCCATTGTAGGGTCTTGCCCAATTCCAAACTTGAGTCCAGCGGAAGCGTCTGTAAGCGGCTTCGTGCACAACGGGGTCAGTTCCCTACGAATTTTGGTAGGTGGACGATATTCTCACGTCTCCGACAAGACCCCTGGGCCACGTCCCTTCTGGGGAAGAACAGACTCCACTGGAAGCTGAACGAGTTCATGGGGACTCTGCGGCGCTGCTCCCAATGAGGAGATAGAGGTGAACGCTTCGGAGCTAGGGATCAATGGCTTCCTCATGGAACATCCGGACCCTCGTGAATACCTGAAGAAGAATCCAAGGAGTTGCCAAGTGTTTGGGAATGTCCTGAGGTCGAAAACCAGCAAATGTTTGATGGTAAAAATCAGGGTTTCCTGCACGCCTTCCCATAAGCCAATCCGTTGAAAACATGCACCGGGCACCTGAGGAAAAGGATCAAGTGCCTAGCTTCAAAGCCCAGTGCCTTGCAGCAATGGCAGCGCAGCAATGGCAGACATTTCTTGGGAAAGTTTAGTGCATGACCGATATGGGTCTCTCTGAAAATGGCATATAAAATTCCAGCTTGAAATGAGGATGATGATGAGGATGATGATGATGATGATTATGATGATGAAGATGAAGATGAACCATCAAATTTTGGGAACCCAGTCTTCAGATAAACTCATATATTATTCATAGGCCAAACCCCAGTATACATCATCTCATGATGTTCTCCACTTTTGAAGTGGTGAAAAATCCAATGATGAATTGAATGCCCCCCTCCATATTTGCAAAAATATCTCGGCGGACCCCAAACGCCAGGCTGTCAAAATGTTCACATTGATCGGCAGGTAAATGGGTCGATGTGTTGGCCAAAATGTAGGAACATTTCGCAGATTCACCAGTTAGATATATACAAGGTGGTGCCCCCCAGTTATAAGTTGGTTTATAAACCATAGTAAGTATAGATATACCCACCATAAACCATAGTTCTTGGAGTTATAAACCAACTTAACTAACTATGGGGCACCATCTTGTACCCTCTGGTAATCAAAGGTGGCTGGAGAATCCTTCGTTTAGTTCGATGATTTTCCCAGCTGTAAACCTCCGGGGATTTTCCAGCCAGCCACGTTGATTACCAGAGGGTACCCTCTGGTAAACTAACAGTTTGCTATTGAAAATGGCCATAGAAATAGTTGATTTACCCATTAAAAAAGGTGATTTTCCATAGTTATGGGACAGTTTACCAGAGGGTACTTATTTTTTCAGACTGAACCGTATGCAACACTTGATCATATTATAACTGGATCCGCTTCCCATGCTTTTGATGCACATACCCAGATTGTACCTCCATTCTTGAGGTAGGTTATGCAATATCAAACACATTCCTGTTTATGATTGCTACACCTACTCTTATATCATCATTCATGCTTTCATTGGATCATGGCCATACTATTCATACCCCTGGAAAATATCCCTATTTCATCAACATCGAAGGTTCTACATTACATAGTCCAATGTCTGATGCTTATATACAGGTTAACTGGATCATAAAGCCCTTTATGGCTGTTTACCCTCTGGTATGTCCCATAACTATGGAAAATCACCATTTTGAATGGATAAATCAAGTATTTCTATGGCCATTTTCAGTAGCTATGTTCAATTACCCAGAGGGTAAATTACAACAATTCATCAAACCGAAATAATACCAACCATCTTCAATGAAGTGGTCCTCCCCAGAGTCGAAAACAAATAGCCATTAACAAAAACAGTGTCCCATAACTATGGAAACTCACCATTTTTTTGGGGTAAATCAACTATTTCAATTTCTATGCCCATTTTCAATAGCTAGGATAGTTTACCAGAGGATAAATCCACATGGTTTTTGAATCGGCTGAGGTGCATCCTGCTGGGTGAGACCTATGAAAGTCGCCAGGCACATGGCAACAAAAAGGCCGCGGAGCAGGACAGCAACATGGGCAACTCAGGCCTTTGGCAATCCAGCAGCCATGGAAAATGGTGATTTCACCCACAGAAATGGTGATTTCAGCAGCAGAAATTGCTGATTTCACCAACACACGGGGAGTTAAAAGCATGAAATCGGGTTTTTGTTAATAGCTGTTGGAGCCAGTATGGGTAGAAATTTTGCAAAACGAGATCAACCCATACATGGAATATCAAGCAGTACAATGGGTCAGTCCCCCGAGTGGGTGAAAGCAAAATCTGCAGGAAAGCAAACCAAAAATAGGAAATATGCATATTTTTGATGGAAAATACATGTTTTTCAGCTAAGATTGTCCTCAAAAAATAAATTTAATGAGTGAGCACATTCAAGGCATAGAAAATCAGATACTGTGGTTTTTGTTGTCTTTGCCCATATTTTACCTGCCGGACTAGAAGTTCTCAAGCTGGGGATGGTTTCTAGGCTGGGGCGGCTGCGATGGCTTTTGGGATCAGCTTCGAGTTATCCCCACCATGGCATTTATACGTTTTGTTACTGGCAAATCTTGTGGCATTCTATCTGGCATATCTTCTGGCATTTTATCTGGCATATCTTCTGGCATTCTATCTGGCATATCTTCTGGCATTCTACCTGGCATATCTTCTGGCAGATGTTCTGGCATATCTTCTGGCATTCCATCTGGCATTCTATCTGGCATATCTTCTGACATTCTATCTGGCATACCTTCTGGCAAATCTTCTGGCATATGTTCTGGCAAACATTGTGGCACTTTATCTTGCATACCTTCTGGCATTCTATCTGACATTCTATCTGGCATACCTTCTGGCATTCTATCTGGCATATCTTGTGGCATTCTATCTGGCATATCTTCTGGCATTCTATCTGGCATATCTTCTGGCATTCTACCTGGCATATCTTCTGGCAGATGTTCTGGCATATCTTCTGGCAGTCTATCTGGCAAATCTTCTGGCATATGTTCTGGCAAACATTCTGGCACTTTATCTGGCATACCTTCTGGCATTCTATCTGGCATACCTTCTGGCATATCTTCTGGCATTCTATCTGGCAAACATTCTGGCACTTTATCTGGCATATCTTCTGGCATTCTATCTGGCCATTGAGGTCCAGCGGTGCTCACTGAGCTCGGAGGGTCCCAGGTTGAGGTCCAGCGGTGCTCGCTGAGCTCGGAGGGTCCCAGGTTGAGGTCCAGCGGTGCTCACTGAGCTCGGACGGTCCCAGGTTGAGGTCCAGCGGTGCTCACTGAGCTCGGAAGGTCCCAGGTTGAGGTCCAGCGGTGCCCAGTGCGCTCAGACCCTTGCAGTTGAGGTCCAGCAGTGCCCACTGCGTGCGGAAGTTGGTGAAGAGCTTGGCGAAGAGGAGAGGGAGGGGGAGGAGGAGGAGAAGGAGGTGGAGGAGGAGGAGGCGGAGGAGGAGAACAACTGTGATAAAATCTAACAACCCTCACCTGGCGGGTGGGGAAAAAAATGATATGCATATGCTGCATATGTTTGGTGGAAAATACATGTTTTCCAGTTAAGATTGTCCTCAAAAAATAAATCTAATGAGTGAGCACATTCAAGGCATAGAAAATCAGATACTGTGGTTTTTGTTGTCTTTGCCCATATTTTACCTGCCGGACTAGAAGTTCTCAAGCTGGGGATGGTTTCTAGGCTGGGCTTTCTGGTGCGGAGCAGACTTTTGGGGCAGCTGCGATGGCTTTTGAGATCAGCTTCGGTGCTCTTACAGGAGTTGAGTACTGTAAGGAATCATGGAAGGAAAGAGCACCATTTGATTCTTGGAGGATCGTTCGAAAAAGGGAAGAACACGCTGCTCGTCAGCTTCGACTTCCACAGAACTGCCGGCACACCAGAACCTTCAAGGCATGAGCCGAGCCCAGCAATCTGAGAAGCCGTTCTTAAGCAACTTGGAGATGGGTCGAAATTGAAGGCCCAGGAAAAACGGGGAACCAGAGGGGTTCACAGACTGATTAGAGGTTTGGAACATTGTTTTTCCCCAATAGTTGGGATGATGATCCAATCTGACGAACTCATATTTTTCGGAGGTGTAGGTATACCACCAACTACCAAATCTTTTGAGATTCATCATATCTGATTTCATCTGGATTTTGGGTTATCCCATTTTGACCCAGACCGACCAGGTCATTTTCACCATCGGGAGATCGGGATGGCCTCTCCATAAAACCCCACAATGGATTGCTCAGACAGCGATTTGACAGCGCCCTTTGTTTGACCAAATGATTGAGAACCATCCTCCATACTTCAACAGTTGGGTCTGGAAGAGATCAATTATCAATACTGGTTTGTGGTTTGGAACATGAATTTTATTTTTCCATCTATTGGGAATGTCATCATCCCAACTGACGAAGTCCATCATTTTTCAGAGGGGTAGGCTCAACCACCAACCAGAACAATATTCAACCATCAATCCTGGTGAAATGAACCATTTTTCGGACGGTTTATATAATGTGAAATGTACCATAAATGGATTGAGTCGTCATCCCCAACCATGGTAGTTGTGGACATGGACCACCAAAAAATGTTGCTAAGCCTTGATGGGATGATAGATGACTAAAAAGATGAAAACCTACGAGTTGTATCTAGTTGTGCTGATCTATGATAAAGCCTACTACTTTTACTTATCTACGATTTACTGAGTGGGATGCTGGCTATTGGTTTTAAAGCCATGTTTATTTTCCCAGCTATAAACCTCCATTGAGTTCAGCGGTTTTCCCAGCGGAAAAAAAACATGGCACCGGAGGGTGTTCTTTCCTCCCAATTCTCGGTGAGTAAATCGTCACATAGGACGTGGCTCTGGTGGCTTTGGAGGCCTTGCAGAATGAGCCGCCAGATGAGATGCTTGGAAGCTGAATTGTCAAGGGTTTTTGTGTTCTGAAATGATGACCTCGCAATAATCGGGGAATGAAAAATTAGGATGGAAGCGGCAAACAAGTGGCTCTAATCAAAACTGATGATTTGACCAATACAAATGAAAGGTAAACCGACAAGCCAACTGGTGCATGCTGGGTCTTGGCAGAAACAACCAACAAACATTGGGAGTTAGCCGACTTGGAATGGGACTGTGGCCAATATAGGTCGATAAACCAAGCAGCAAAGGGCTGGTTTTTTATGGGTTACTGTATGTTTGAGCAAAACTGCTTCAGTGCACCGTACCCATCAAAAAATGAAAAGGTTGGTGCGGAGGTTGTCTCAGGGTAGCCAGACCTGTGCCAATTGTTTGGGCTTAAACATGTGGTGAAACGTGCTGAAATACTTCTCGAAAGGGGCAGGGCTGGTAGTGAACTAGGCTGACATTGAAAAGGAGGCAATCGAACATGGCAATGGAAGAATTCCCATGACGGAAAAACCATGGAAAATCACATGAAAATAGCTTACAATGACCCGGTTTTTCCTAAAATCTGAATTCTTCACTTGTTTGATGCTTCGATGATTCCCTGGTTGATCTTCGGGATGGAGGAGCCATCCTTTAAAGAATCGTGAATACCACGGTGTTTGGTCAGTGTTCCCTTTAAAAGTCCATGGTACATATGGCATGTTGAACCTCCAAGAGACTTTACCGTTCAACCGTTCAACCACAAGATTTCAAACCGGATACATCACTCTATTGGAAAAGCAGTTCGCAACATATGGGGGTTTCCGAAAATAGAGGTGCCCAGCAGCATCCATTTATAGATGGATTTTCCATGAAATAAACCATCCAGCTAGTGGGGTACCCCCATGGCTGAAACCAAGGAAGGATGGCGCGCAGAGTGTGACGACTTCGGCCAACCAGGAGGTGATCATCGATTACAAAGGGCAGTTGATTCAACTCTTTCAGAGACTTCAGCTGAAATCGGTGGGTGAGAAACTTGTTTGAACCAAGAAAAAGGATTTAAAATAGTGGTTTTTGTATGGTTTATCATAGTTGCTTATTTGTTATGTATTTATGTTGTATTTATGGGAACAGAATGGGATTTGTGCATAATATATCTTAGTGCAGGAGATCCACGGCCTATCAAAAAGGCCAGTTTAATGGATCTAATGGGGATACAATGGCGACACAATCGGTAGAATGGGATTGAGATATCTAATATGGGATGTGGATGGGTTTGTCCAAAAACTGAGCGAACTCTAAAACAGCAATGTTAATAGGAAACATGACAACATTTGGATTGTTGACAGTTCATTAAAGTACATCAAATCAATAGTTGGTACAAAATGACAGCCATGTTATAGAAATCGGGTACCTGAACAATCCACAATTGCATCGCTATGCGATGTGGATTGTTAAGGTACCCGATTTCTATACCAACCAACCATATTGGGCAGCCCATAGAAAGTTAAGTCAGGGAAATCATCCCAAAAAGTTTGCTATTGAAAATGGCGAGTTATAGTGGATTTACCCAATGAAAATGCTGGATCTTTCCATAGTTATTGGACAGTTTACCAGAGGGTATAGCGGTATACCGGTATACCTACAAAATGCCATCAATATTTATGGACAAATAGTTGTCAAGTTGTCATACAAGTGTCTATCACTCAGTGGAGTTGGGAGGAAAAGGATGATAAACCTTACGGAAAAATGATATCAACAACGATTGACAAATCAATATTTGTGGAAAATGATGTTTAACCAGTGGATTTGGAGGTACCCCAATTTCAAACAAATCCATATGCTTTTGAGGTAGGTGACCTCCACTTTAGGTTCCTGAAATATACCTTGGCAATGGATACTTGGATGCATCCCGCGAATCCTAAGTGATTTACAACCCATTGATCTAACTGGGGATATTCCGTATATATACTCCAACGTCAGCTGGGGAGCGTACACTCCAGACCCTGCCAGTCTGAGAGGCCTTGCGTACCGTCTCATGAGGACGCAAGCAGGACCCAGCGAAGTGGACACTGTCGAGGAGCAGTGAGGATATATCACAATATGCTGCCCAGGCTCGGGCCTTTCTATTGGAGTGCCAACCGCACCAATCAGGTAGCTTCATGAACCTTGACAGTGAGATGTGGCCACAAACTGCTCAATCTGCAGGTGGCCCCAAGAAGCGGGAGGAACAAGAAAAACCCCCAGCAGCTCCCGTGAACACAATAGACTTTCTGAAGTGGGCTAAATATTGCTTAGATTTGCTGGGTAAATCTTGGATCGCTAATCGGGTAGTTTAGTCTTGTTTTCTTTGCTGTAAATGAGAAAAAATTGACCAGCTGAAAGAAAGGAAGTGCGTGACATTGATGACTTATCAAACAGGCTAGTTTAATGGATCTACTGGGGACACAATGGCAACATAGTGTGCATATTGGGATATGTAATAAGCTCATGTTTGGTACCTAAAATGGAGGGACTGTATCATATAAGGCCATGTTTTTAGGTTATATCCAGCTACATAATCCTTGCATAGACCTGACATGTGCTACCTGACATGGGTACCTGAAATGTGGCACCTACATATTCCTTTCCTCCGATTTAGGTACCTGAAATGGCCAGCACATATAAGGCAGATTCTATGGGTGAAATTGGTTCTGACATGGAAAATGGGTTCGAAAATGGCTTTGATATCTCCCTGTTTCCAGCCTGGATGCGGAGATCGCAGCCAGGGGAATCATGAAGTAGCCTGGATCAGCCCTACTTATGCCATTAGCAAGGGACATAACCTGGCATGAGCAACCAATTGCGAATTATTTACAGTATGGGGGTTTCTATAGTCATGGGGTACCCAATAGCTGGATGGTTTATTTCATGGAAAATCTTACTAAAATGGATGATTTGGGGGTACCCCTATTTTAGGAAACCCCCATATATATTTATATAACAATGCCACAGTCAAGTGTGCCGGATTGTATGCCCATTCGGGGGCGGTCGTCAATCCATTAATAGTTTCATATACCCATTATATATGTTATATATTAAATATAATATTGTATTATATTATATTATATTATATTTTATTCTATCATATATATATATATTATAATATATTATATATGGATTCCCAATATGCGATGGGTTACCATAAACCTCAGCCATATCACTGGGGATGCATCCTAGAATCGTAGAATGCAGCTACTGAGGAGTCTTGGAAAGTCGAAGGAGGTTCGTTTTGACGTCTTTCGAGCCGCTACGACAGGAAAGATGGGGATTTAATCAACGAGAGGAATCAAACCTAAGAAAATGTGGATTCAACCAACAAAAAGCACAATTGAAAATTGGATTTGACCAACAAATTCTGGGGGTAGAACCAACAAAATGAGGATTACACCGCCATTAAGTTCCATCAACCCTGATTCTGCATGGGGCGAATATGACAAAATCCTATTGTTTTAAAGGGTACATACCTGGGATAGCCTCATGATGTCCATGTCTGCGGGGAAACCCTGGAGGTAGATGTTTGACCAATCGACCCGAGATATTGGAAAGGCCTGATCTTATACAGCAAGATAAGCCAATGATTGAAAACCAGGGTATCCATGCAAAAAAAAAACATAGTCGGATACTTTTCGGGTACTCAAACATTGCTGGCAAAATCCACCAACTAAATGGAGGTTTTGATGGGATTTTTATCTATGAATGGTGGATTTTCAATTGCCAAGTTTCATGACCGGAGGGTATCAGAATATGCCAGCAGGAACGACGCCTAGGAGGCTGGAATTGATCCAAGAAAACTGAGTAAAGCCAACGTATCTTTTGGAATGATGGATGATGGTGGATCCACAAAAGTATCCATCTCCAAATTGTGGTCTATTTTTGGGTATTGCCCCTGCGATGATTTATCAGGCTCAAATGCTTGACGATTGGGGGTTGTTTGAATAAAATTCTACGTTCCACATATTATGAACCACAACACATTTGCCACTCCCGCGAGATATTCAACAAAGAGGTTCACCTATTGATAGGATGAGAGATGCTCAAAGGTAATCCAGCCGGTGTCTGACTCCCCAAAAGATCATCAATCACTGGGATATGCACAGAAGCTGTAGTTCACATCAAATCCCCCAAATCAACAGTTTGACCCTGCAAATGGCCCATTTTTAGTGGAAACTCATCTTCCGAACCCACATTTAAGGCAGGGTCAAACAAAATAACTTGGTAGGGTCCGGTAGGGTCAGTCTTTCTTATGGATGTTCATTCCAATCCAGATTGCAGGGGGCATATCCCTCCTGGTTGGTGGCATAAGGTCTTGCCCGGCTTGGTGTACTCCGCAGTTTTTTGAGAAAATGATAGACAAACCATTGGATCTCGGGGTCCCAGAACTCATTGGAATTGCTTCCAGCGGTCTCGTGGGCTCTGCTGGCATCAACGTTGAAGGCTGATTGATCTGAAGAAAGGGGACAACAGTTGTCCCAAGATTCGGTTCAAGAAAGTCAAACCTTTGGAAGCTTAATCGATCATTTCTCCGCTTCATCCCAAATCTGCACATTGGACTTTGCACCACGTAGGTCTCAAACCATGTTAAATGATTAACAGTTAAATACCAGTTAAAGGATGTTTAATGGTGTTTAATGGATTTTAATGGTATATAATAACTGTTAAACATTATTATTTAATTCTAAATCCCAGTTATATCATTTTTTATTTGATGATTAAATGATTAAGAGTTAAATACCATGATAAATACCAGTTAAATACCATTAAACCATGTTAAGTACAGTTATATACCATTAAACCATGTTAAATACCAGTTAGACTCCCTATGCTGGAAGCCACATTTCATGAGGTCAACGAGGACTCTGAAGAGAAATTCTTTCAAGCCAAGGCCAACGGAGCGGAGTTGGTTTGTTGAACAAAATATGACGATGTTTGGCCCACCAAAAATGGGGACGGAACATATATATATATATATATGTGTATGTAGCGCATATATATATATATATATATATATATATATTGATGTTTATCAAGAAAACACAAATTGTGATATCAACAGATTGGAATTGTTGTTGGTTAAAATAATCCTGCAAGAATTGTGTTTTCGCCTGCAAAAAAATGATATTACCTGCAACACTTAAAAGCTGACCGAGAAACAAAGGTTATTTGAGGCAGTATGCGCTTCCATAAGCAACGTTTAACCCCAGTATAAGGTTCAACCGTCGATTGAAACATGGTGGGGTGGATCCCATTGAGTCGCCTGAGTACCGCCGTTGCTGGGCCGTTGCTGACCATGTCGTAACAGTAGCCTTCGTATGGTTTGGGGCTCAAGAGATCACAAGCTTGACCTCTGCAAGTCGAAACAAACACTGCCGTTTCTTCTGAATTTGCCGGAACTTTGCACTAGTTCATTGATTTTTTGGCCATACGGATCTAGATGTTTGGTATTTTTGGGATTAGATGGATAAACACTACAAACACCACTTATCCAACTAAAAGTTAGACTTTCGCAGGGCTGATGCAACCAGAAACCAATTCGTATGTAAACCGGTTCATTCACGATTGGTTTTCATAGTTGATTACCATCTTTCAAAATGGTTCTGGTTTTAACAAGATTAAAATAACACAATCATTAACTCACTGCAGATATCAATGTTTTCCCTTACTGTGTCTCAAAATGGGACATCCTATTTCATGGCCATTTCTAAAGAAATAAAAAAAACATGGACGTTGGGCTCTCCAAATCTCCTGCGCCGCAGGTCTATTTGCCAATACCTGGACAGGAGCCGATCTGCGGGCGCTTTGGCTTTAGTTATGGCTGGAATGCGTCCAGCAAAAGATCTCCCAGGGCTGTGGTTCAGGTTCTGGTTCAGGCCCAGGGCTGTAGATCAAACGATCCACTCCTATTTAGCGCTTCCAAAACGACCGGCCATGACCGTAGGTCCTTTGGTAATGAAATGTCAACATGACATGTGGGCCTGCCTCAATTTTTTCAAGGCATTACGGGTATACCCAAAATTATCGCCATGTAATGGAGAGACTGAGGCTCAACCAATGGATTTGGGTGGTATCCTCGAGGCAAACCCATGGTTTGGTGGTCTGGTTTGAATCTAGCAACACCCCAGGGATTTTGCTAAGCCCAGTTTAAACGAACCTGGACCCCGAAAAAATTGGCCTCCAAAAGTATGTGCCGTACTGGAACATACTGGAAATGCTGGCATTGCAGATCTTGGAGGTATAGACTAAAGATGGGCGGCATGGCAAACTGCTTGGAGATATGCAGAAACAATCATGCACTGTTTGTAGAGCAAAGTTCAAGCGATGTCCCGAATATTTTGATGGATACAACTAGCCGTGTCCTTCCATGTTGCTGAGAGTTGATATTGCTGAAACAAGGACACATTTATAGCGTTTATAGCAGTAATTGGTCCATATTTGTATGTAATAACAGTATATATCATGAGCAAAACATATCAAGTATATATCAAAATCCAGTATGCCAGTAGTACCGCACAAGGCGGTGGCAGAAGTTTCAAATGGTTCACAGCCAGGCGGTCCACAGCGACAACGGTTCGAAAGCCATGAAGCCCATTGGAAATCTGGGCGTCGATTCCAATCTGGCTGAAACGCATGCGGATGGTCAGAGGTGGATACATGGAGAAGAATGAGGTGGGAGACTTCGAGTGGTATACCATGGCGGTGGCAAAGCCTTGCAAAATCCCAAATGGCCTCGCCATGCAGATGATCACGATGCTACGAACTCACAATGTGCACGATCTGGCGCCACTGCTGGAGGCAGGGATTCTGGAGCGCAAAGATGAAACGCCTGCTGCTCCATACCATGTTGAGCAAGAGAAGCTCAGTGCGATTTGGTCCCGCTATTGCGTTGTGTGGCTGCACCGAAATGGCCGCGGTCCGATGAACTGCACTTGCTGGTTCAACAGATAGATAGATAGATAGATAGCATAGATAGCATGGATAGAATGGATAGATTGGATAGATTGGATAGATTGGATAGATTGGATAGATTGGATAGATTGGATAGATTGGATAGATTGGATAGAATGGATAGATTGGATAGATTGGATAGATTGGATAGATTGGATAGATTGGATAGATTGGATAGATTGGATAGATTGGATAGATTGGATAGATTGGATAGATTGGATAGATTGGATAGATTGGATAGATTGGATAGATTGGATAGATTTGATAGATTGGATAGATTGGATAGATTGGATAGATTGGATAGATTGGATAGATTGGATAGATTGGATAGATTGGATAGATTGGATAGATTGGATAGATTGGATAGATTGGATAGATTGGATAGATTGGATAGATTGGATAGATTGGATAGA